CTCTAGACTGGTGCATGGTGATTAGGGTTTAACTTTTTCTCTCCCAAAAGTGGCCAAAGTACCCTGGCTCCAGAGGCCAACTCTCGAAATGCCTAGGATGAAATAAGCTGTGCTTACAATTTGAAAAAAAGCCAAAGTAAACATTCAGCAAAATTCCACATTTAACAGTAATTTTGTGAAATGCTGAAAAACAAATAGCATTATGTGCAGGGGAAGATCAAGAAAATTCAGACGGGGAGGAGGGGGTTTGGGGGGGGGGGGCACACCTGGACACTTGCCAGCAATATAGATACTTGTAGTTATTTTACTGAGAATTGAGTACTGACAAAACTTTACGGAAAAGGGGGGGCTGTCCTTACGGCCCATCCTTAAATCTGCCCACAATGTGAAAGTATTTCCCAAGAAGTTCCATATTTTGAGTGATCACACCAGAAACCACCTCACAAGACTCTGTCATTCAATCTGAGAGCCAAAGAGTAAAAGGGTTTAACTGTATCAAACACTCATAAGCAGTTGGTAATGTTTTTGATGGTTGAGTGGGTCTTGTTACCCAATATGGCAGGGATAATTATTAATTTATGCTCCCAACCAATTGTAGCATAATTTCTTTGAAACTGTCACCGTAGGTCTCAGCCAAGATAATTATTCAAGGTGGGAATCCAGGAGAACATGTTTGCAAAATTGCTGAGAAAGAGCACGCAACATTGATTGTCTGTGGAAGCCGTGGAATGGGCACTGTCCGTCGCACCATATTAGGAAGCACAAGTGATTACATCATACATCACGCACACTGCCCCTGTTTGGTTGTTCCTAAGGACAAGCATTCTAAGTAGTGTTACAATAAAACAGCTTAACAATGCTTTGGGGCTGGGTCAAGGTGTCTAAAACTCAAAACCAAGAACTACTGCAGTTGCTAGGCTTAATTAGAATTCTGCTTTTTTATTTAACGAGTACTATTCCTTAAAACTTCTTTGTGTTTTCTCTCTCCTTCTGTTCTTTCTGTGTTTTGTAACAGGTTTGGAGTTTTCTTCAATCTTCACTCATAGCCTAGGCGCTATAATGCCATATCATGTTTATTCAGTATCAGAGGAGTGAGGGTAACTAAGAGGATCAAATTTAAATAAACCACGATTTGAGTCTCGATTCAAAGTCTTTGTTCTTGTAAATCTCATTCCAATCTTGATATACTAATGAAAATGAGGTTAAAGGTTGCTAAACTTGCAATGGTTCGTGGAAATGGGCCTTCCTCCATTAAAAAAAATTACAAACTTGGACCCTTGGGTCACTGAGGTTGTTAATAAGTTTATTGGTCAGTAGGTTATGAGACGCTGCAACATTGTTCAATCACCAAAGCATACTGGAAAACCACTGAACAGCATTTTTGCACTTGTTCTGATTAGAATTTTGTATCCAGACCAGGTGGGTTGTTGAAGGCTGGGTAGCCTGTTACAGCTGCACAGGTCGTGGTATGCAAAGACTAAAGAAAAATTTGTACGGATTGGAAGAAGAGGGCTGGGCATCTCTTTCAATCTCGTTCCCAGACACTGTGATCATTTTGGACATCTTATCAACCTTAATCTTGTGGGGTTGAACTCCAGATCATGTTGAGTGCTTGATCTTGATCGTCCGAAAGAGAAGGACGGGTTGTGCCAAAAAATAAAAGAAAATTTTGTTTGCTAATCGACGCTCTTTTATTTTGCCGTTTTCATCCAAGTTAGGGTCGTTAGAAATGAATCGACGACAGAATCGGGATAGAGAGAAACGGCCCCCTCGAAACCATACTATAATCAATACTCCCTAAAGGGGTGAAAAATGGTACCAGGGTGACTTTCGTCCCCGCCCAAGTTCACCCTGGTTTCGTATCTGGGCTCTGCATTCGTTTAAATGATACAGCACAGAAAATATATACCAGTCGAACTCAGCGGAACTCTGACAAAGTTTTATGTTGGTGTTCATTAGGAAGTCTCTTGGAGAAAAATGCGCCTGAGATTTTGGAAAGACCCTGAATCCCATGAAGCAGCTTGTAGCAGACCTAAGAAACTACCAATAGAAGTACATTTTAATGAAAATAAGCAAGAAACGACAAAATTCTTTAAACGACATCATTTATTCAAGACAACGTATTTGCTTTGTAGTAACTTGATAAAAACACAAGTAAACCTTGAATTCAGTGTCAATTGTCTCTCGTCTACAATGTTATAGTGTTAATGAAGAAAGAAAATTACCGTTTTTAATCTATCGTAAGGCGTTACCTAGAGTTTAGAAACTACCAACTGGAATAAATCTCGGAGAAATATGAGCGGGAAACGACATCATATTTACAAACCCCACTATATTTATTTAACTTAACAAGACAGCACATGAAGCTCATTTCCGGGGCCAAGACAACGGAAACACAAATGAATGAAAACGCCACTGAAAAAGTGACGTCGCGTCCTCTCAAATGCTTTCGCCATTTTTTCAACTCGTCCAGTTATTTTAAAGTTGGGAAATAAATAAGTTGGAGTCGAAGAGACAGCTGAAGAGAGGGGACCGCATCCGAGCTCATACACACACAGTAGAGTTCATTGCCTTGCCGTTCACGTTCTTGAGAGAACTCAATCCTTTTGTTGCATGGACACGGCTAAGAAATTTACAGAATAGTGTAAGGCAAGTGCAGAGTTGATTTTTTACTCACTAATCTTATTTTGCGCTTCGTACTTCAAAATAATAAATGTAATCGCAGCATTATTATACTACCTTTAACGTTTAGAACCTACAGCGAATGTTACATGAATTGAATCTACGAAAAGGCTCGACTTATCAAAGCTTTAGTTACAAGTTGAAAGGTGCTCTGTCAAAAAACGAAGAACCTTGTGGAACTCAGTTGAATTTAGTAAGTGGATCAGTATTGATCGAGCTCTTGTAATACTTCACTAATTTAAAAACTCAGAAGGACTGATAATTCTACACTTTGAATTTTGCCATTAAGTCACTTGCAAAGCAGTGTTCACTTGCAACATGCAGGTGTCCATTAGCAGGTACAGTCTATCCTGTAGCAGCAGCAGCCCAGATCCTGGCAGCAGCCAAATCAACGAGGCAATGGCGGATCGTAAGCGCGATTCCAAATCACGGCATCAGAACATCATCTTTTCCCTGGTAGGCTCCGCAGTGGATGCAAGACAGGAACAGGCAAGTTAATTTCTACCAGTGCAGTTAACTATAGTATTAAATGAATGTTGGCCAAACGGAAATCCCGGGTAGGTGGGAAGTTGGGAGAGTATACTTCCTTAGGTATGCCATGTAGGTATATGCGGCGCCAAAGGGTATGGTTTTTAACTCCATGGGGTACTCCCTATAAAGGCCCATACGGGGAGGATAGCCTTTCATTAAGTGAGGTATATAAAAGGGAAGCGAAATCTGTCATTTCAGTTGGTAAAAATTCCCAAAAGGGTTGACAGATTCATTTTCTGGCAGTGAAAAAGTCTAGAGAGCGTGAAAAAGTCTAGAGTGTGATTTATTCATATTTAAAAGGTAATGCATTTACGGCAGTTAAAAGGTTTAAGTGGGACCTCAGGGCGGGGTCATAGAAAACGTTTTCCGTGTTTGCATAGCCTGATATAAACACGAGAGGGGTTGGGAGAATTCGAGACAGTTACGCAAACCCGAGACTTCGACAGTTATGCAAACCCGAGACGAAGTCGAGGGTTTGCATAACCGTCGAGAATTCTCCCAACGCCTCGAGTGTTTATATCAGGCTATGCAAACACCGGAAAAAAGTTTTCTATTGCTTTTAAAAAATAACTTTCCCGAGAAAAAAACGCAAAACTCTTTGTATGGCACTGATTAAAAGAGACATTCTTACCAGTCGCAAAATCTTGTCCACCAAGTTTTGCACGCGTAATCAGTTCTTGTTTTGCAAAAAGATGCTTTGCAAAAATACGGATTTTTCTCGCTTAAAATGTCAGCTTAAGCGAAGAAAAATTGACTCACCTTCTTTGTAACGATTTTCCATGTTTCAGCCGACGAAGTAATGGGCAAATAAAGTAAACTTGTTGAGTTTTGAACTCGAAAACTTTTTCAAATTCGTGCTTGCGTGATAAGCGCGCGAAAAGCCAAACAACTTGACGCCACAACCATGTTTACATACTCTCATGCAAACACTCCTCTCGGCCAATCAGAGCGCGCGTACTATCATAGTTTTTTTTTATAAAAAACTTTGTTGAGTACCCCCTCCCCCCCGGTTTTTGACCCTTTGGTCTCTGAAGTGAGCATAAATTGTTAACCATTTGAGTCTGAAAGAGGGTAAAGTTTTGTGCTGTCTGGACCAGCGTCTGGAATTAGGCATATCTTTTTACCATTTGACTGTTAAGAACAGCAACTTCAGGTATGAAATAGAGTGGGGGACGAAATCACACGTTTTGTCCTGAAATAGGGTTAGTAAAATGAGATCAATGCTCCGATTTCAACAACAACGGCTCACGAACAGAGGATGGCCTGCCTGTGGCGGTAAACCTTCATGTCACTGGAGACTATGATTGATTGATTCAGTTTTTTAACCTGTACATGACAAACTGGCCTTATGCGTCAAGGAAATTCAAATGACCAGATGGATTCTTCTTGTCCCTTGCTGGTTTCATAACATTATACAACTTGATTCAAAGTCCGTCGTCTCGGCACCGGTTCTTCTATGAATTAAATGACTATTTTTCTATCGTTTTGTTTTGTTATCAGTGGTGATTTGGGAAAAATATAGCTTCCTCTGCAGTTATGCTAACGATCGTGAACTTTTAATCTAAGTTTCGAAGGTGAAAAACCGTCCGTTTTTTATAAATCTAACCTGAGATCACGCTCTATTTTCGTCGTTTCGCTTAGAAAATACGTTCCTGCGTGCAATTTTAGCGCGACCACCTAACAGAGAATGTATAGAAGCCTGCTAAAATTGGGTTCGATCTTTACGCAAACCAAGCTTGACCAGATGATTATTTTTCTACTTTAGCTTACAGTGAGGATCTCACCTTTCACTGGCTAAAATTCAATGTCACGTCATCACCAATCAGCACAAATGGGGCCCAATGCTCCACAGCTTTGTATTGCCCAGACTCACGTAAACATTTCATGGCCTGATGAAGCGACTTACTTGCACTTTGCCCTGCCGCTAAATGTTCGTAAAAGTGTCTCATAAACTCCAGAGTAGCTTCGTCGTTAATCGCCCACAGTGTCGCAATAACAGAACGGGCACCGGCTCCTAAAAAGGCACGTGCAATACCAACCACGCCTTCGGCTTTGATTGGCCCTTGCCCACTGTGACAGCAGCTTAATACAACAAGCTTGGCGTGCAGTTTTGCACCTAATACATCTGCCATCGTCAAAAGAAAGTCCTCCTCTTTTGGTCTGTCCATACTAGCAAGATTAGGAGATAGAATAATTTCTCCATTTTCTCTTCGACCATGAGCCGCAATGTGTATTAGGGACACTGGGTTAAGCCTGCTTAAAACTTGCTCTTTTGTAGCGTTCTTACCAGTGAGAGGCACAATGTTGAGAATCTGTCCAATCATTCTTACTTCTTTCTCAGCACCCGGGAGCTGCGGTAACTTTTTGCAGTCAATGCGTACTGTTTCCACCCACGGATTACCAACAAGCAGTGCACCAGACGTACTATGAAGCCACTCCGGACATTCTGCCAGTAGTTTTAAGCAGGTTAGTGATGGAGCCAGCCGAATTCTCAGCGTTTCAGACAAATACTTGGAATGCTGGTCCACAAGGGCGGCATAAGGAATAATAAATGACGAACCGTGAGCAACAATGATGAGTTCATCACCTTTTATCAAATGTGAGATTGGAGTAATAACCACCTCATACAATGTTTTTAAAGCACCGCCATCGTCTTGCTGTGACGACGATGCAGACGCCTGTGTACCCCTATCGGTCAAGTCGTCGATTTCTTCATCTTCTGGCTCATCCGGGGAACGATTATTGCTCCTACCTCTTCTCTTGACACCAATCTGTGTGTATGTTTGGTTAATCAATGTTTTCAACTCCACACTGATTTCCTTTCGCACAAACTGAAACTGCTGTCCCTTTAGCAGAAGCCAAAGATAAACTACTTTGTCGCACGTGTCTTCCTCTAAAAATAGCGTAGGTGACGAAATATGGCTTGAAATGTTAGATAGTGTCAGTTCCATCTGCGGTTTGGACGACGATTGAAATGATTTTTTGCTTCCATATTGTGACTCCATGAGATCCACGAGAGCTTGTGCTCGCCCCGCCTCAGCTGTGAAAAGCGCTTCCATGGTCTTGCCTTGTTGTAATTGAAGTGCTACTAAACCTCTAAAGTCATGCATATTCCGAAAGCTGATTTTCCACTCGTCTTTCTCTTGAAGAAGAACCCTCATTTCTTCTACCAGTTTTATTTGGGATTTAAAAAGCTCCTCAGCTTTCAAGAAGTCGTCAAGAGAATGAAAAGCACGAGCAAGTGCGCCACATGTAGATGGTTCTGCAGGTTTGTGACCGATCTTTTCCAGGATACTTAAACCTTGCTGATAAAATTCAATTGCTTTTTGGGAATCATGAAGAGATTGATAGGCGCAGCCAAAATTGATATATCCATGTCCTTCTGAATGTTTGTCTCCAGTCTCTTTAGCGATGGTTAGACCCAGCTCAAACAATTCGATTGCTTTGTCGAAATCACAGAGAGAAAGATAGACATGGCCAAGGCTGTTATATCCAAATCCTAGCAAATTTTTGTTTTCAGTCTTTTTTGCGATGTTTAGACCCAGATTGGAAAATTTGCTTGCCTTTTCGAAATCACCGAGAGAATGATAGGCACAGCTAAGGTTAATACATTGAGTTCCTTCTGCATCTTCGTTTCCAGTTTTTCGGGCAATTTTTAGACCACTCTCAAAAAGCTCTTTCGCTTTCTCGAATTCACCGAGTGAACTATAGGCAACGCCAAGGTTGCCATATCCAGTTCCTTCTTCATTTTTGTTTCCAGTCTCTTCGGCAATTCTTAGACCTCGCTGACAAAGCTCAATTGCTTTCTTGAATTCACCGAGAAAATTACAGGTTCCGCCAAGGTTGTTATATGCAGTTCCTTCTGCAGTTTTGTTTCCAGTATTTTTGGCAGCACTTAGACCCAGCTGAAAAAGCTCCATTGCTTCCTTGAATTCACCGAGAGAAAGATAGACAGCGCCAAGGTTGTTATATCCAATTCCTTCTGCATCTTTGTTTCCAGTATTTTTGGCAATACTTAGGCTCAGCTGAAAAAGCTCAATTGCTTTCTTGGGTTCACCGAGAGAATGATAAGCATGGCCAAGGTTGTTGTATCGAATTCCTTCTGCATTTTTGTTTCCAGTATTTATGGCAATAATTAGACCCAGCTCAAAATGCTCAATTGCCTTCTTGAATTTACCGAGAGAATGATAGGCAAGGCCAAGGTTGTTATATCGAATTCCTTCTGCATTTTTCTTTCCAGTATTTATGGCAATACTTAGACCCAGCTGAAAAAGATCAATTGCTTTCTCGAATTTACCGAGATATCTATAGGTAACGCCAAGGTTGTTATATACAGTTCCTTCTGCATCTTTGTTTCCAGTATTTTGGGCAATACTTAGACCCAGCTCATAACGCTCAATTGCTTTGTTGAATTCACCGAGAGAATGATGGGTAAGGCCAAGGTTGTTATATCCCTGTCCTTCTGCATCTTTGTTTCCAGTCTCTTTGGCAATTCTTAGGCCCAGCTGATGAAGCTCCATTGCTTTCTTGAATTCACCGAGAGAATGATAGGCATGACCAAGGTTTTTACATGCATCCCCTTCAAAGCGTTTGTTTTTTATCTTTTTGGCATCGTTCAACATCAGCTCGAAGTAATCCCGGGCTGTTTTAAAATCACTGTGTTTGAAAGCTTCAGTTCCAAGTTGACGTCTGTACAAGTAATCCGCTATAGACGTTGTATCGTGCTGTCCATGATTGGCTTTACCTCCTCGGCATGACTGAAAAGAGAGAGAATTTTTTTCTTTTACATAGTGCGTTATTCGGGTCGGTAGTCTTACCCCGTAGAAACGGCTAGGCTACTGGCCAGAACGATAATGCCATTATAGTAGTGAAATCATGTCCACCCATTCCCGCACCGCGTATCCGTACGCAGGAACGGTGTGTCTTAGGTACTCCGTCACTCGAACTCGCGTATCTTTTCGCGTTCGGCTGACGCGTGACTTCTCGCGGTTCCCCAGCTCAAATGGAGAGCTTTTTTGCAAAAATACATCTTAGCATGCCAAAAGAAAAGGCAGGGAAATAGACAAAAAGGAGACACGAGAAATTACACTGCTGAAGATGTAAATTGTAGACAAAGAGAAAATGGAAGAATATCATGAATACAATTACTACGCCCTACACAGCCAACAGCCAACTTGCTTAGGGGGCATTATGCCAGTGGCCAAATGACTTGAAAGTTGTTTTTGAGTCATTCTATCAGTTTTCCTTTTGAGAACATAAACCACAAAAGACTGCAAAGGACCACGAACGAATATGCCGCAGAACGTAGGATCTATTAAGACCTGATCAGCAAAAATAACAAGTAGGTATGCTAAATTCTGCAAGTAGAATACTGCAACGCTGATCGTACTACGCGGAAATTAACTTTGCAAGACGTCAACACGACACCGAAAGAACCCAAAACAGAGCGGGATTGTAGCCATAGACAGTTGCTTCGCTAGCTCATCAGTATGGCGTAACAAACAGAGAAGCTCTGCTGAAAAATAACCCTCACACTCTGATTTAAGCAATGACCTGGAACTCCAACACCCACAGAATCACGCCATACCAAAGATAAATAAAAAGCGTTATGGCGTCATTACGTTGCACTTAAAACCCAGATCATAAGAAAGTTTCATTTTTATATAATACAGCTGTGTTAGTCTTTTTCCCACATCTTTACTCATGCCGACATAGTTAATGTTCAAACTTGGGAGGCATCCCCCCTAAAAAATCAAGTCGAGCCACCTTAACTTCTCTCCCTTCCCGCCATCCCATTTTGATCTCATTACACGTCACCTGAAGCCCCAGTCCTCAAGAATTAGCCCACCACCAGCCTCTAATAATAGGGAGTTTACGCAACGACAACGACGAAGGCAACGAGAACGGCAAAAAAGCAATAGGTTTAGACAAGCAAAACAACAACTTTGCGCGTGCATCACGCTTTTTTGTACATTTCTCTGCCGTCGTTGCACGACTACAACGTGAAACTGCCTAATTTCACGTTTTGTTGAGGACGGGAACAGAAGGCAACAACTTTCTTTTTCTTTTCCTGAACTTTGATATAGTCCTTTAGAATTCAACTCCACAACAATTTGCCAACACTTGACGAATTAAACGAGATGGAATAAGCGCGATAAAGTTTGAGGCAGCGCAAATTCACTTTTTAAGTGAAGATTTCGTAGCCGTCGCCGTCGTCGTTGCGTAAACTCCCTAATATGTCCTAAGGAAATAAATAGAGGAAATACAGGTTATTCTTTCGTGACATTCGGGTCCCGTATATATTGAATAACAGTTTGGTGAAACTGAGAAGAATTGAGAGATTATGGCTTTGAAACATTTTAGTACATAACTGACCCATACCTAGCTCGGACAGAAAGTTTCCAGTTAAACTCTACATACTTCAAAAACATAAAGTATCACATCTACAAGAGCTAATATTTACTATGGGCACTGCTCTACATACACCCTTTATATGTACGTGGTGGTTTTTATCACATTTATTTTATACAAAGTTAAGAAAAATTTATATATTCGCGAGTAAAATCTCACATCCATGCAATTTCATATAGTCTCTTTTCAAGCTTTATATATCATTACCTGTGACAATACGGTCGGTTGTTGAGTCGGGAAATTTCATTGTTTGATGAAATTTAACCAAGCAAAGATTGCCTTGTTGGTACTTAATTTCGCGATTTCAACACGCAAATATGAGAAGAGGGCATTAAACTTAGGCATTCTCAACTTTATTTTATTTTTAAAAAATTTCTGAAAGTTTTCAAATTTCTATTTAAACTGGAAATTAAGTACAAGCTAGAGAGCCGATTTTAATGCGAAAGCGCCGTTGAACGGCGCATTCATGGAATATTTGTGGTGATGTTTCAGGCCAAAGCTCAAGTTTCCAAAGATAGCTAGAAACATGTTCATCGGCCGTCAACTCTTGAAATTTTACTTAGTTTTTTTTTTTAGTTTCATGTACTTAACAAGGTGAGAATATCAATATTTCTTGGTAGATTCTTTCTAGGTGCTTGTTTTTTAAATACAGTCCAATAATTCTTTGTTAATCGAAGATTCATGTTCAAAAAGCGCGCCACCTTCAAAAATGCTGGGAGACGAGGGAAGACAAAGAGCTTTCAGTATTCTTTCTTTTAATGATTCCCACTGAGAAAGGAGAAGTGGATAATGTATGCAAAGATGATGAAAATGAGAAGAAACGTTTTAATCGTATCAGTCGATCTAACACAGTAAAATAGCTTGCTCGTAGGCAATCAAAGTAAAACAGATAACCGGGAGAAAAACAACAAATTAACATTTTCATCATCTCCTGAGGCAGAATAACTTGGCGTGAGTTTCCGGTCATAAAGGCGAGAAAATCATTTTGCATTGTTAACTCGCTAAACACAAGACTACAGCTACTTTCACTGCATTTACGGACTCTTCCGCCCTTATAAAGCTAAAGTTTTCTCAGTGAAAACCCGTGCAACAGGTGTTATAAAATTTGTTTCGTTTGACTCTTGAGAACTAGTGAAGCAAATGTTCCCGTCGTATCATCTCAAGGATAAGTCACGAAGAACAAATATCTCATCGAATCTTACCTAATCTTTCGCTCATGGCCTTTAAATAGGTTTCCTCGTTGTCATTCGCATGATTTGGCTGATATCGGGAATGGGGGAAGGAAGAGTGTTCGCTCACTACTTTGACACTGCTTAAAACGTTAAGACAACTGTTTCAAATGGAATTTATGCGCAATGAATACAAAATTTTCTTGCTTGAAAGCATAGTTTTAAGCGCAGTCTTTACAGCGTGTTGTAGTTCTGGCTCAAATAGATTTCTTCAAGTCTGGGCGTGCCGCCTGAAGACCGTTAGAGCGAGAGAAAATCCCTACATATCGAGACCTTTTTAAAATATTTAGAATAAACGCTATCTTTATTCATTCAACTACAAATGGATATCGTCACCTCATGAAGTCTTGGAAATCCCTATATATACAGACTTTTTGGTTAAAAAATATTTAGAACAAACGCTATCTTTATTCATTCAACTACAAATAGATATCGTCACCTCATGAAGTCTGGGCGTGCCGACTGTAGACCGATAGAGGGAGAGGAAATTCCTACATATAAAGACTTTTCGGTTTAAAACATTTAGAATAAACGCTATCTTTATTCATTCAACTGCAAATAGATATCGTCACCCCATGAAGTCTGGGCGTGCCGACTGTAGACCGATAGAGGGAGAGGAAATCCTTACATATAAAGACTTTTCGGTTTAAAACATTTAGAATAAGCGCTATCTTTATTCATTCAACTACAAATAGATATCGTCAGCTCATGAAGTCTGGGCGTGCCGACTGTAGACCGATGGAGGGAGAGGAAATCCTTACATATAAAGACTTTTCGGTTTAAAATATTTAGAATAAACGCTATCTTTATTCATTCAACTACAAATAGATATCGTCACCTCATGAAGTCTGGGCGTGCCGACTGTAGACCGATAGAGGGAGAGGAAAT